CCCACCTTTGGTAATTGGGATCGAGATACTCGAGCCAATCAATGAAGCTTTTGTGTGCGATACTGAATCATCAGGCCCCTAAGAGCCAAGGGCGCAATTTGAGCCAGTAAGAAGTACTTATGGAGAAAGGGTAATCACGTACTTCATCGGTATGTCTCCATTTAAGATTCTCCGGCACCAGATGGTCTAGTGCCATGTCCATGTCTTTCCTCACGCTAGTATACAACATTTGATCAGGATCCAGTCCGAAGTGTGGCAAACGACTAAGAACATTTGGGTTGAGACTGACTCTGGATCATACTGTTTGATCGAACAAAAAAGATAACTCGAAACTGTGTTGAGTGTCATTACCCAATTTCTTGTGGTAAGAAGAATTCACTTAACGTTTTCGTTTATGCTCAATGCAGCACTAGTATGTTGTATGAAGAAGTGGGCCACACCAATCTGTTTGATAGAATATATTAGTCAGAATTGAGTTATGGGCTTCATTCCAAGGCGAGAGAGTGTTGAGTAAACTGAATTCACATCACAATTTTTCAGACCATCGCTGATATTTCGAGTGACCTCGTCGGTAACTACAATAATTTGGTTTTTGTTTGTCATAGAGCCTCAAGCACAACCATCCAAATGGGCTCATATTTCTTGATGACTCATTTAAAATACGTACTGACCGAGGTGACATCTATTGCGATGGATGGGATAATAGAAACAAAAGATGAGTGTCATGTGAATGATAAACAAGATCAGCTCGGTTGATTGAACTTGCCCCTTGGCGCGCTTTCCCAATGTAAAAGTCGTCTAAACCAAATTAGATCACAGAGATGTATGTGAATCCATTGAGTCAGTGGATCAGATCAGCTTTCTTGGATCTTAGGGCGTGTCTTGGGGTAGATTTCGAACTATCCTCACTGACTTGATATGGCATGTCTTTGGTTCGAACGGTCGGTTGATGGTGAACAAGGCTCAAACGTTGCGGCCGTCCTCAGCTTGAATAGATGCGCCCTCGGTTCGAAGAGTTGGAGATTGAAAATATGCCAGTAGCAAGGGACTGTACCACACGATCCAGGTTTCACGTTCGGTGCGGTGGACCCGGTAAATTTGCATTTGCGCGCAGCCGCTACCCAAGAACTGTGGGGGGCGCGCTAGTCTGCGCTGAGACCCCCACAGCGAGCTTATCAATGAGCAAGAATTTAGGCCTTCTGTTTACACCAAAATTTCAAGCCCTAGATTTCTTTCACAACCCTTCGAATGACACCTGAAACATAATGTACCTTGAGGGGCGCGCATAAGCTTTCAAATGGAAGTTCTCATATCAAGACATCAAGTGAGGGAGGCAAGGATCTCATAAAACAAAAGTACTTGAGTGCTGAGATGCTTAAGCTGAAAAGGAGGCGAGGATTGCCCTGAATGTGTACATATACTGACAATCAAAGGGAGCGCTCAGGTGGAAAATCACCAAACTAACTAAACTTTTGTCTGCAAATTGCAAACGAGCGAGGTTCAAGGATGAAAACTATCAATTCTTAATTCAGCTTTAAGGCTTCCGATAGGAGCTTAAGTGATTGGACACTGCCACCCGGGGTCTGTGGTCCGGACTCCGGGTACTATATTACAGCTACACTCGGGGTTACCATCATCAGCCACTACCACTATCACCTCGTCCTCCCACAAACAAACCCTCCCTTGCCTCCCAGCATTTCTACCGTTTACTTCACCAACCTCGTTTCAACCCTTTCTCGCTTTTTGATCTAATCCTTTCTCTAGCACCATCATGGAAGGTATGTTGTTTATTTGCTTACTTTCACCTTACTGTTTCAACTCTTCGTTTTTTTTCTCATCTTTCCCGCGCGAACTGGCGCGATTGAGGTCGGGGGTCATACCATCCCCTTGAACTTACCACCAATTCAAGCGGGCTTGGGTTCAGGTGGTTTTTGATTAGCTCGATTCAGTGACCAATCAGGTCACTGACTATGATTTCCGATCCTCAGCATTCATCCGATCGATGCGATCTCTGCATTGATCATTCTCGTATTAGTTGCTTTACCCCCTCCCAAACCCAATGACCTGAGAGCTTGCACCCCTTAGCCCCTTTCCTCCCCTTCGCCCCTCTGTCCTTCGAATTGATTACTGACATTCCTATCAATCTTTTCCTCTTCAGATGAGGTAGCAGCCTTGGTCATCGACAATGGTTCGGGTATGTGTAAAGCTGGTTTGTAAGTCGTTCTTCTCTCACGATCTTGGCGGGTGTGACGCTCAGGTACTTGAATGTTTTCACTTTGCAGCGCCGGTGATGACGCTCCCCGTGCCGTCTTCCCGTCTATCGTCGGCCGTCCCCGTCATCAAGGTGTGATGGTGGGCATGGGACAAAAGGTGAGATTGAATTCGTCTGATGAACTCTTTAACGACTGCCAATCAAGTGTATGAAATTAAAAATCCTCCTGGGGTCTAAAAAAAAACATAGGATTCGTACGTTGGTGACGAAGCCCAGTCCAAGAGAGGTATCTTGACCCTCAAGTACCCTATCGAACACGGTATTGTGACCAATTGGGATGACATGGAAAAGATCTGGCATCACACCTTCTACAACGAACTCCGTGTCGCCCCTGAGGAACACCCGGTCTTGTTGACAGAGGCTCCCCTCAATCCGAAAGTGAACCGTGAAAAAAGTGAAGCTCCTTTTCTAACTTCATCGGTCTTGGTGTTTTGAGCTTGATTGAGTGGCTGATGACGTCATCCCTGCCCTACCCAGTGACCCAGATTATGTTTGAAACTTTCAACGCGCCTGCCTTCTATGTCGCTATCCAAGCCGTCCTGTCTTTGTACGCATCTGGTCGTACTACCGGTATCGTCTTGGACTCTGGTGATGGTGTGACCCACACTGTACCGATCTACGAGGGTTACGCGCTCCCACACGCCATCCTTCGATTGGATTTGGCTGGTCGAGACTTGACAGACTACCTGATCAAGATCTTGATGGAGCGTGGTTACAGCTTCACTACCACCGCTGAGCGTGAAATCGTGCGAGATATCAAGGAGAAGTTATGTTATGTAGCCCTCGACTTTGAGCAGGAGATGCAGACTGCTAGCCAATCGTCTGCGCTTGAGAAGAGCTACGAGTTGCCCGATGGCCAGGTGATCACCATCGGTAACGAGCGGTAAGTTTTTGGTATCTTCCCTAATCTTTGGTTTACGGATAACTGATTAGAATTGAGGTTTTTAGATTCCGAGCTACTGAGGCGCTCTTCCAGCCTTCGCTCTTGGGCTTGGAAGCTTCCGGTATCCACGAGACCACCTATAACTCGGTCATGAAGTGTGACTTGGATATCCGAAAGGATCTCTATGGTAACATTGTCATGTCCGGTGGTACCACCATGTACTCGGGTATCTCCGACAGGATGCAAAAGGAGATCACTGCGCTCGCGCCCAGCAGCATGAAGATTAAGATGGTCTCTCCTCCCGAACGAAAATAGTGCGTAGCTCTTATCAATCTTTATCCAATCACACCGCTAATACCTGGTTTACGTTGTCTTATTTCTTTGTAGCTCGGTCTGGATCGGTGGTTCGATTTTGGCCTCCCTCTCCACCTTCCAACAGATGTGGATCTCGAAGCAAGAATACGACGAGGTACAATTGTCTTTCATCTTATCTTATCTTATTTATCCATTACTGAAATATGCTTCGATTTGTGATTACAGAGTGGACCGTCGATCGTTCACCGCAAATGTTTCTAAAGCGTCGTCTTCAGCTTCGTGTTAGGCACCTTACACTTATCCGCCTCCGATTACGTAACCTCTTCATGTTCCCCCTTTTTATAGAGAGACAAGTGTGTACATGTGCAGGCAAAAAAATCGATCGCCTATCTTCTTCTCGTTCTCTATATGTGTCTGGTGCTACTCCTCCCTTTTTGTTAGTTTTATGTGTTCTCCCGACCCGCGTTTCTTTCCAATGACCTCCACGTGAAATAAATTACAATCAACGGTTTTGTGGGTGCGTTTAGACGTAACTCTTTGTTTGGGGACTCGTGTGAATTTGACTCTTGAGTTGCCACATGACACTCCAACCCTGTCATAGAGCAGGTATGGTCTGACTGAATACATGAGTGAATGGTACATTGACTGATGACAGGAAAAGGGGAGTGTTAGGCTGCCTTCACAGTATTTAATTAATGGTCACTTCATCCAAGAGGTGCGTATGTGAGATCGTACCATAGTGGGTTTTCTAAAGAAGCTGTTGCCCATATAGCAACTCATACACGCCGACATCCAGGGTAGTCAAATGAGATAAGATAATAGAAAGCTGCTATGGAAGACAGGCCTCTGAAGTTAGTCTGGGCCTTTCAGGTTTTGCTGGTGGTATTATGCTTTTTAATATCAACCTGTCTGTGTGGGTACTTTTTTAGTGTCAAGAATTGACCTCAACTCAATTGTAAGTTGGGTAAAATTGATAAGCATTGTGAAGGCAAACACATGCACTGGGACCACCAGACAACTTCTCAACATCAACCAGGAGGTTTTGTAAACAAAAATTGCTCCGACCTACTGTCAAGAATCTATAAAATGAGTATGATGACGTTTCAGAATTTGTTCGTTAAAGCATGCCAAATCAGATATATGGTTTGACCATATAAATGGGCTTCAGGGCATCGAAACCGAACCTTGAAAAACATTTGACTATGATTCACAAGACAGAAGAAACACTATGGAACCTACCCAAACAGGTAATGATAATAATATAGTCTGTTTGAAATCTTTGCCCACTAACTTTGACTTGCGGGTATGAATTTTAAGGCGACAGAATTGCCTGAACAACACTTTACTTACAACCATCGACGTGCTTTTTTTTTAAAAAAAAAAAGGGTTAAAAAAAAACGTCTGTTGAACCAATGTCTTGAAATGTGTCAAAAGGCTTTCGCATTGCAGCATGAAACAAGTTTTTACCTTCCCTGAATTGATTGATATAACCTGGCAGTGAGCATGTAATATCTTGAATGGTGAACGCGTGACAGGATGGCCGAGTGGTTAAGGCGGTAGTTTTGAATTAAATCGAATAGCTACTTCACTATGTGAGCATGAGTTCAAACCTCATTCCTGTCGAGCGTGCTTTTTTCATTTTTCTCCTATCAATCATATGGGAGGTTCTGGAAGGATTTATTGTAGTTTTTGAGAGACCTAGTATTTCGGTAGTTTGCCTGTCTGACAATATCGATTCATTAAACTCTTATGAGAAGGGGAGAATGTTGAACAGGATGTCCTGTTGACTCGGACTGTTTTTTTTTTTGATACGTACACTGTATACATTTTACTCAAGCTGACTTGCAATCTTGAAAGCCCATATTCTTAAATGTTCAGGATCTTATGGTTGGCTTGTGGGTATCCCACTTACAGTAGAGGAGAAGGTGTGATTCACCCCTTCCTTACTGTAAAGAAAAGGAGCGATCAACTCCAATCGGCTCCTTCCCTTACTGTAAGGATGAAGTGCTTGGATGCGATCGAAGTGAATGACCAGCTTTTTTGGGATGCTGACCAGGGCCTGTCTTTTTGTTTTTCTTTTTTTTTGCTCTCAGCTTCATTCAAGACGATCCCAACAAACCGAACCAAGAGTTTGAGTCGGTTGGAAGAGGCGGGTTTGGGACCTCACCCTGGTCATGAAGCTCACCTTGGCTCGATCAAGATATCAGTTATACCAGACTATCTGGAAGTGTCAAACCAAGAAACGGTGGTGGGATTTACTAGGTCTTTCCTTCCCCTTCATTTACCTGGTATGCGATTTTTTTTTCTACGGTCTCAGATTTGGTAGAACATCGCAAATGCGTTGACAAAGTTTAATAGCAAGAGGGGCACGTTTGGGGACACTTGCTGGGGAGAGCTCTGAAATGGTAGGATTGGCGGTGGATAGCTCATTTGGACAAAATCCGGGCAGTCGCTTATCTTCAATCGCCCGCTTTATTTCTGAAAAGCTTGACGAACTAAACTTGGTGACCACTTGAGTGTCATAAACTATCAGAAGACGCGGGAGAGGGACTCAAGCGGGCGGTCTTTAGCAGTCTCCTATTATAAATGCATCTACAAATTTTAAAAGAAATCATATCGTAAGGGATCATTGGGTTGAATCTGAAATTGTTTTTTACTGAGAAAAATAGATTAACAGAAAAAGAGCGAACTCTTTCACCAGAGCAATCTGCTAAATGTGGTGATCAATCACTATCTAAAATAGATAGATAAGTACCACAAATATTGCACACGCATTTTTTTTTTTTTTTGACTTCGAGGTTGCAAAATTCTCTTTTGTATGCAACAAAAACAAATGCATAAAAAAACACGTTTAGTTGTCATAGAATCCTCTTTTTATAAGGAGGAAATCATGATCCTGACCTGTAAAGTGTTGTAACTCTCTTTTCCTGTCTGAATTTTGTGATTTTAAGGCTTCTGCTTTAGTTAACTTGGCCATTGATTGATCAACTTGGCGAGATCCAACTAATTTTAAGATTGAGAGAGAAGTGACTGACTGACTGAATACTTGAATGTGAAGAGATTTATTGACTGATTTAATATCTTGAGAAATATTTCCTAAGCTTTTGAACTCCACCATATCTGCCTCATAATCAATTTGAATGTTCACCATATTTCTCTCATCTATAAAATTTCAAAAAAAAAGAATGTAAAGTGAGAATCAAGGTCAAAGGTAAAGCAAAAGAAGAAGAAGAAAAAAAAATGGATTGGCCAAAGCTGTTGTTCAATCATTCGCTTTTTTTGTGTAATTCTAATTTTATAATCAAATTCTTCTATGAAACCCAGAATGTTATCTTAATATTATTTTCTCATTTTATTGACTTTGAATCACCAAGAAAATATTCCAAAAGCATTGATAGGTATTCTTAGGCTTTCTTTTGGAATCAATGGGTAAACATATGTTCTCATAGTGAAAATTTTTTTCGGATGATTTTCCTGAATCATCGGTCCAATTTCGTGCTAAGAATACTTTTTACTCTCCTTTTGACTTTTGTGAGTGATTTTTTGCGCGTGCACCTACCTAGATATACTTTATACAAGATAATGAAAGTTAACAAAACAAATTGAATAAGGTTTTTTTTGTTGTTGTTGTTGTGATTTTGCTTACAGTATTTGTAAGGTGATTCTGATAACATGCACCACAGAGCTAAACTTTGAAAAAAAAAAAAAATAGGTTGTGAAATTTTGATTGATTGAAATCTGTGGATTTGAGAAATGACATCACTTAAATCCTAACTCATCTGAAAAATTTTCTATAATTTGTGACTAACCTATTCCTAATGCTTCACTGCCCATCAAGTGCTCTAGGTTCTCTTACATATACATGAGCATAGGTGAGTAGGTGAATGGTTTGTGGGAGGCTTTGATGCTTGGGATTTATTTAGCCTTTTGGTGTAGTGTTTTAAAGAAATAACGATAGGGTGCGCATGTGTATTTTAGACAGACTGATTGAGACAAAGTTGTTTTGAGAGATTAAAAGTGAGTACTGTTGTTTCAAAAATAAATGTCCCTCCTGTGATTTTTTTTTTTTTTTTCATTCCCGCGGGGCATTATCCGAACCCCACTTGGACCTACATGGAAGCGCCAAATCAACAGCGAGCCATCCCATCCTCCTTTTCTGGCACCTCACATTCACATTCACATCCATCTGCTGGTGAGGTGCAGTGAAGGGATGTGAGTGGTAGGTGTGCCAGAAAAGGAGGATGGGATGGCTCGCTGTTGATTTGACACTTCCATGTAGGTCCAAGTGGGGTTCGGATAATGCCCCGCGGGAATGAAAAAAAAAAAAAAATCACAACAGGGACATTTATTTTCGAAACAGCAGTAAATGGTACTTATCGAGATTCAATCGACACATAATATGCTTTAACCCAAATATGCTACTATCATAGCCCCTCGCCTTAATTTTCATCCAAATTGTCAAGATCTTCTTACCTGTCTCCTTTCCTCATCTGAAAGGAGATGGTAAGCCCAACTCATTCCTTTTCTTTCTTATTTTCACTTGTCAACAACCAGACATGCTCACTAATCTCCCATTTATTCCATGTTTCCTTTTCTCTTGTCTAGAATTTTGTCATCAGCCTCTGATCCAAGCTCACTACCCATTGTTTGATCAAAAATTACCTAGGTATAATGCTTTGCTGTAATGTGATTATCTGAAAGGAGAAAATTTTGTCACCAGCCTCTGATCCAAGCTCACTACCCATTGTTTGATCAAACTTACCTAGATAAATGTGTTCCAAGAATCTTCACAGTAATTGATATCATTTGATTGTGTCAGTGGAGTGAATGAGAAAAGGTCAGGAAGGTTCAGTGGGTAAGTAAGAGTGAACATGGGGGTGTGTCAGCCCTTGAGATCTTACCTACTAGCAAGATCCATAAGATCTTCACTTTAGTAACACTAAAAGGAAATATAAAAAATAATAATAATAAATTATATGTAAATGATTACAACACCTTTGAGTCTAGTGTCGAAGACTCAAATCCATTGTAAATAAAACACCTGTATACATCTTACAGCCTAGTATCTAAGGCTTTAAAAATATTACTCAATTTTTAAAATAAATGGTTTGAAACAGACTCAAACCAGTTGAATTACAGGAAAAGAAGAATGAATAACCTAGAAGAAGAAAACAGAACCCTTCAGTTACTTATCCAACACAGTAACAAAGATACAGGCTTGATCAAGAGTAAAAAGCCTCATGAACTTTTTGATTCTGGCCTAGTTAATCCAAAAAAAACCAGACTAAAATAGATTTACTATGCCACTCTGTATTCATCAGAACTGATCCAGTCTAAAACCTTCTCAAATATAAATATTCCCACTAAAAAACCCTTACTACCTTAATCATCAAGAATACCTGAAAAGCAGTAAAGTTACCCTGAAGACAAGATACTGGAAGTTTGTCTCCAGGCTTCAGAGAACCCTGAGTTATGATGTCACACAGGAAATTAGACTAGGACAGTGCAAGAAATCTGAGTGGACTGTAAACTACTGCAAATAACAACCCCTAGATTCAGCTATAAATAGAGAAGCTATCTACTGGGATAGATGGAGGGACACACAATCTTTACCAACCAAATGCTTCAGCAGCCCTAACTTGCCATCTCCCAGAGAGACCACCAGTTACTACTTCTGAAAATTCACTTTAGATTGAGTCACTGTTTTCTTTTACACTCCACCCAGAAACTCAAATTACTGTCAGCTCTACCCTTCAGATCCCTAAGCTTCATTGTGTTCTACATCCTTTTGCTCTATCTCAACCATAGCCCTCTCTGTACTGTTGTTTCTGGTTTTACTACTAGGTAATTCCCTTACTTTGTAGTGTATTCTTTGGTCATAGACCCAGTTCTTGCAACTATTTGTTGGCAAGATCCCTGCTGTTCATAAGAACTCAGGCTACTATTAGACTTCTAGTCTTTGAGGAACAGTGTAAGGTCCAGAAGCTGACCACTTCTTTCTGTTAACCTACAGTAGGCCTTTGCAAGTTCAAGTAATTACTCTCTAGAGCTTCTACCCACTCACCCATTGTACCCAGATGGACTCAGTCAGGACTCACCCTAGGTACATGAACTAGACCACTCTAGGACTCATAGATTAGCCACCCTGACAGGGTGCTTCTCTAGGGCTGTCACCTGGCTGAAGATGAGTTGAAACTTGTAGTACTTTCTACTATTTTTCCTAAAAAGCAACAAATAAGATTCTACACTGGTACCCCCAATTGGATACTATAATTATTTGACCCCTGATAAAAGCATTTTAGCTTTGAAAGAAGACTTTTTTAACCTCAGTGCATATTCCCTGAAGGACAACCTGACTTGTAGTTCTGCCAAAAACTACCTGCAAACTTTCAATGCTGGATATAGGCTTACTGAGGATTATTGATCCTTCACCGGCTCCTTCCTGTATTCTAGATAAAGCCACTCTACTCCTTGGCAAGAAATCTAGAACACCAAGGAATCCTAGGTTGAGGTCACAACACACATCTATTGATGGTTGGGACTTCTGTTTTTCACACCTAATGATCTTTGCACTATCAAGTAGATATATTCTATGGGAACCATCCTCAAGTTGTGCAGTTGCTCAGTTTTGATGGTTGTGGTAGAAGGTAAGGAAAAAAGGAGAAGATGTTCTTTTTGAGGAAGAAGGTTTTGTCTGCCCTTCTCTGAAGTGATCCCTTCGCTTAGGAAATAATGTTCAAATGATGGTTGAACATATGTTTACTGTAAAAGTCATGTACCAGCAGGGAAAGAGGTATGCTCAACTAAGCCTCAAGGTACAAGGTTGGTCTTACTCACACTTTTTTTATCTGTTCTGGAATCTCAACAGTTTCTACTCCTTTCTCTCATGGTCTCTATGCTTTAACTAGAATGACCTGCCTTTACAACCTATGCCCAGCACCAGAGCAAGCTCCTGACGAGTTTCCCCAATATGAAGAGCCCCTTAGATTGGTGGGTGAATGCAGATTCATATAATGTGCTTTTCCTGCCTTCAAACCAGTCCCATCAGGAACCAGTTGATGAACTCAAGCAGGAGAAGGTAAGTGATGTTCTTACCCCTTTTTGACTCCAACTCACTGCCTCCAGTCCTCATGAAGTCCACTAATCAAGTTCCTTCTTCCTCTATTGTCCTTGGTCCATTGATTCATCACAAGCAGCCACCATAAAAATGATTTTGATCAATCTACTACTGGACCATTTGCCAAAAACAAATGGCTAAGGAGAAGTAACATCAGCTTCCATAACACAGACAGGCTGCCCCTGGTCATAGCAGTGGCAAGGACAAATGAGGATAGATTTTAGTGTAACATGAAGATATCTCTGGGTGGATTGAAATGTAAATGCATGCCATATTTCCAATTTATGCTTTGTTCAATCTATGCCATAAGCACCAACTTGTATTCATGTCCCACTGTAACTCTTCCTGGTCTCAACACTTTGTGCATGTTTTTTGGGTTGGTGGAGATTATCACAGTGCTGACCAGGCACACACTTGCTGGCCAAGAGACAGTGAGAGTTGCATTCCACCAAGTGACTTTGGCAGTGCTGCTTTGCCACACCAAATATGTGAGCTACTTGCTTCTTTCAGGCAAGTAGCCTCACTAAAAAGTGACAGAAATATTTATGGGCACAGAGACCAGAAAGGAAAATGGGTTCATAGACTATCCCAAATGCCCAGAACTAACACCTGCAAGCCAGATGGGCACTGGACTTATCTAGAACTAAACTAGATGTCTAGCAGTCCAGTGATGGCCAATGCAAATCCTTTCCTTGCACTGTTAGTGGCCAATCCCAGCCTCAGGATTTATCCTCTACTTACTATTTTGCTCTTGAGAACCCCTCAGCAAGAGCAAATAGCAAGTAGTGAGGAAAGGCTCTAGCTTTGCACCTTTGCAGACCAC